CAACTGAATAGGAGGTTTGAATGTTCTTTGAATGTGATAAATCCATAGAGAAATCAAAGCGCGGTTTTGGTGATGTTCTAAGTGCATCGGAAGAATCGTGCTTGGGTGTTAGTTTAGTAATTTCTTTTATCACAGTTTCCGATTTGGAACTGCTAACTGGAGCCTTCTTTGACGACTGCGAAATCGTTGCCTTTCGAATGTACCTCTTAGGTTGACCAATAGGTGGCGGATGCGTATTCTCAGTAGAAGTCCAGCATGCAAGTCTTGCAGTTCCATCATCAGAAAGCTGTCTTGAAGTGAGAATTGGGTCCGAAGCAGCCATCTCAACCATAGAATTAAGACTGGATGAATTGCGCATGCTGAAAAGGACCTTGAGCCAAGAGTCTCGCTTTTCAGTCGGACTCGATGACATCTTAGGTGAGGAGTCATTTCGGAAAAGACGGCGTCTTGAACGTTTGTTACTTTCTGGATCATAGAATACGTTGTTTTCAATTCGGAAATAGAGTTTCTTGGGTGTTGGAGATGCACGTTTACTTCCCTGAGCAGTTTTAAGGGAGCTCTGCACGTTACGTGATTCACACACGTTGTTCGTCTTGACTGTGAGTTGAAAAGAGGTAATTGTGTGTCCCCGATGAAGGTGCCTGAGGTATCTGAATTTTTGGTCCAACGTGTACACTGTCTCTCCCTTTGTGCGCTTCTCTGCCTAATTCTATCTCCAACCTCACTCTCACTGTCTCCGTTATCTTTAGACAATCAATGAAGGGAGAAAGTGGTTACACTTACTTCTCTCTTACTCTTTCATGTGCGTCCATATCTCCGTTTACGCGCTGTCACTTCGGTGCTTGCATGCTTCCGTCATACAAGCCACTGCGGCTTTTCTAATTGGTCAGTGTTTGAGACAAACACTGCCCAATCACTTTTAATCATATTTCAAACGATTTAAATGAAATAAATATAGGTACGTTTGATTTGATTGGTTCTTCACCGATATCATCTTTCTTCTACCATAGACGAATCTAGTTCAAGCCTCTATTTCATCACAAATAAATGTCCTTTTAGATCTTTACTTTTCTTTCAGAAGTTCGTTTTTTTGTTAGTAAACGAAGGGATCCAAACATATTTGCATAAAAAGTTTTACAGTTCCTATTGTGCAGTTGGTAATGGCTTCTCAACATAGGAATTGAATATAGCTAACGGAAATAACCATTTCAATGACGAACGTGAATTTAGTTTTGGCGATGTCATTTAACGGTTAAAATAAGGTTTACACAGAGACTATTTTAACGTAGGATCAAATTTTGGCTATTTATTTAAAATTTATCCCTTTTCTCATATAATAAGGGCAAAGTTAAATGTCAAAAAAATTTTCCAACCCTGTTTAGTTCCAAAAAATTTTCAGATCCGTTGAATTTTTTCAGCTACAAGACGCAGGAATTTAAGCAGACTTTTAGAGTTTTCTAAGAATTAGTCGCCTGTTAACAAATATTGTCATGCCATTCTGGTAAACATTTCACTAATCCAACTAAAGTCTAACTTACACCTTTTACAGCCACAATGCTGTGTTTCGGAAAGCTTTAGTTAACCAATTCAAAAATTCATTTATTTATTTCAAATGGCAGGCTTTAAGATAATTATCATTAGCCCTTAAACTTTGACTTCAGCTTCCCCCAAGGTTGTAATAAATCGAAGTCAAAATCGAATGCCGAGTGATAGACTTTTTTGCCGTACGAAGATACGTTGTCCAGGGTGCACCACGTGGAGGTAAGTCTATCGCGCACCCCAAATTCAAAAATCTTATTTAATTTACTTATTTGTCATAAATTGCAAATGATAACATTCGTCTTTCTTGACTCAATGTGACCGGTTTTTGTTTATTTGATTATGAAGAGCTGGAGATTGCATATCTGAAATTTTAGTCATTTAATGTTTTATAAAAATGTAAATATTGTTGTGGCTCTGGCTACTGGCTTGATCAAACAAAGTTCAAAACAGTAATTAATCGAATGTGAACCATTGACTCATAATGATCCAATCAGCGTTAAATGATTTCCTCAAGATGTAGATTTCAGAAATTAAAAAAAACTATTTTCTCATAACATAAATAAGAATTCTAATTTACTTCAGAGTCCATTTACATTTGGTAAAATTTAACTTCTCTTTGAAAGAAAGCATTTTTTCCATAAATAATAGTTTTCACTTATTTGGCATATAATGAAGATTGTGCCTATTTTTCACAGTGCTAATCGGTAATTGTAGGGAAATTTAGATTTTGCAAGCGTTTAACCACTCACGCATTAAAAATCGTTTCTTATTCTTTGAAAGCTAGGTTTAAAAATTTGGTCAGTTTAGCATATTTCGCTTACCACTTCCTAAAACTTGACATTCCCATTTATCCGATAATACTGAAACACGCACTTAAATTTAAAAGTCAATTTTAAACAACAAAATTTGTATTCTTTAAAGTTCTGTCCATTTAAGGCAATCAAAAAGAGAACCACCTGACCGTCAAAGTCAATCAATAAATTTTATCAAATTGAGCTGGAACATAATTCACAAATTCTGTTTCTGCTTTTAGATTTCGTGGGTCTTTCAAAAATATGCTTCTAAAGTACGGAAAGCAAATAGGTTTTGCATAGGAAGTACCTTCAAAGCTATTTCCAATTCCTTGCCTCTCCTGGTTGTGAAAAAATGTATGGAAGTCGAGACTAATGCTTACAAGGATGCTGAAAATTTCTTAATAGTACTTCTCAATGACAAAGCGGGTTTTTTATATTCCCACACCCATTTTATGCTTGCTTTTTTGTAGCATTAAAACAATTCCTTTGTTGGGCTCTGAGGAAGATAGTGCAACTCCAGGGAAATGCTATTAGTTGAATGCCAATTACTCCCACCCCCGCCCCGCCCCG